GGTCTTTCTGAGTTTATTTTGGGGCAATTGCCATGATCTATTTGCAGGACTGTAAATCTATTTAAAGTGCATAAAGCTATCAACCTGACAGTTAACTAAAAATGCACTTAATTCTGTTATTTTTTAAAATTCATCTGTCTCATTTAGATTTTTACCCCTAGGAAGGTCATTAGGCCACTCACTTAGGGATGGGAAGGGGTGAGGAGTGACTTATGGCTGCCTATAAATTGAATGGGTGAGGCAGAAAGTGACAATCGAGGGAGAGCTGAGGTTGCATAGACCTTGAAAAGGCCACCTGAGGCTGCTCTTGCTGCCAAAACATCAGTATTTATGACATCTTCTCTGAAGCTGTAAAATGCTGGCCCTGGGTATTATATCTATAGCGGTTGTATTACATGGGTCACCTATCCTGCTTCTGAATTTTGCTCAGAATATTCTCTATGCCTAGATTTGTCTTCAGTAAGTTGTACTGTGTCTAAACTTGATTCTTGAAGAAATCCTGTCTGAGTTGATTAAGCACTCTTCTTAATTTTTTAAAGGTAACTATTTCCACTAAATTTAAATTTTAAAAAATTCTTTAAATGCCTCCTAGACAAGCACCACAGTAGTAAATGTTAGAATCTTATATGTATGTATTGTTAGAATCATGTTTGTATTGTTAGACTATAAAATTCTTAGACTTGATGGGAACTGAGTAGGACTTTCTGACCCAAACAACCATCCCATAAGTCAGGGCAGGAAACCCAATCATCTTTGGGCCCCTCTCTTGTTCTAAATTAACTTCCTATCCCTGAGCAAGATGACAACAAAGTTTGTCAGTAACACTTGGATGTGATAGGTTCACGTAGCACTTCAAATTGAAGCATCAGTAGAAAGGGAAGCGAGTGTGCTGTGGTTGTACAGCAATGGCGGCGATCTGAACCAAGCCTACGGCCTCCCCGTGGTTCCTGAGCCAGGCAAAGGCGCCTTTCAGTTACCTTCCTGGAGTGACTCAGAACTTGCTGCAGCAGTGTCTTCTCCGTAAGGCTTCCTTTTCAGATAGGCAACTCTAAAAGAATATTCTTCTTCTTTTTTTTAATATAAAAGCAAAAGGCTCAAAATGTTTAATTCCCATCTCTAAAGGGATCCTGAAATAGCAGTTATCCAGGGGCAGGAGCTCCTCACTGTGCTCTTGATCCCGTGACCTGCTTTACCATCATCTCATGTAAGTTATCCTCTCTCCCCCCTGTTCGCTTAGGAAGCAACATCATTTGTTTCGAGCCCCAGTTTCTCCCTTGCCACACAGTTGGAATTGGGGCATGCTTTTCAGTGAGGTGCCTGTGTACCCCGCTGGCTGGAAGCCCTGCCCTGACACTGTTGCTCTGAGCGCCTGTGTGCATTCCATAATTGACATGAAAGAAAGAGAAATAAGTGAGTGTGGCCAAAAAGAGGTGGCTCATCTGAGAACAGATCTCTGTCCCCAGGAAACTGCCTCTTCTTTTGTCCCTTTCCCTCCTCTCCCCTCTTTCCGCTCCTTCTCTCACGCACATAACTCCCAGTCAAAGGGCCGATCTTCTTGGGGTGATCTTATTAAAGCCGGTGACACTGACGGGTGATGGCTGAGAGGTTTAACTCATTCAATGAATTTTTAATGCAATTTCTTATTTCCTTGAGCTATAGGCTTCCCAGTGCCCCCTATTCTGGGAGGTTCCCAATGTCCTTTTTCCTCTCAGAATCTGGAAGACCCTTGCAATTCACACATGTAAGTTCAGAGGGTTCAGTAAAAGCTCTGTCCAGAATAAGACATTGGAGTCTGTCAAAGCAAATGGAAAACCCCAATGGAAATTCCCAAGTGAGGTTGTGGATTATTAAGGGCTGTTAACGTAAAAAAAAACAAAAACATTGAAACCTGTAAAGAATTTTTTGTGAGTTTATTTGAGCCAAACTGTCGACATATGCCGGGAAGCAGAACCTCAACGAATTGAGATAGTGCTCAGGAGAATGGCGGGGTTACAATTGTATTTAAACATTTGCAATCAAAGGAGGGACGTAGGTGGGTTACATGAAATTCATTGGTGACAGATTAAGGAGGAGGGATAAAGCAAAGCAGGGAAACCCCTGGGATTGGATAAAAAGTAAAATGATGGACACATACTTAGGTGGGTGCAGGATCAATTAACACGATAATGAAGGAATTTGTAGTATCTGTCCAGGCACCCAGCACATTTAGTTGTGCCCCAGGGGCTCCAGAAAAAGGGAAGTTACAAGTTACCCAGACATTTCAAGGGTATGTTATCTTAGAGGCAAAAAGGCAAATGGGCTCAGTAAGGATCAAAGTTGATCTTGTCAGTGAAGATACTGGCCTAGGGCATAACTGCCCACCATAACTGCTTTTAGTTAAAGTTTAATTTCAGACCATCCTTTGTGGTTACTTTAGGTCTCTGAGTTTGCAAGACTGCCATGTAGGCCTCCCCTGAGCTTGTCAGGTCAGCATGTGGCCCCTTTCGTCCACAGGGCTATGTCACAAGAATTCATTATAGTTTCTATGGTTAATGCGAAGTATCACAGGTCCCCCCCCCCCACTCTTTTTAAAATAACTTCCAAACTTTCAAGATATCTTTTTAAATGTTTGCCAAAGTAATACCTACATACAGCTTCAATGGCAGTCTAGTGTTCCACCTTTGCCTTATCTCCTAGTTTTGATCCTCACAAGAAACCACATTCAACTCTATAGCTGTTTCTCTGGAACTTACCTTCATATTTCCATTAGTATTCTTACTATTCTCTTTATTTACTAGAGAAGTTTAGCTATCACCTATTTATTTGAGGATTTAAGTTTTTAACAACTTCTTTCCCGCATTGCCACTTTCCTTATAAGGATCAATCAATATCCTGTGTTTGACTGATGATTATGTAGACATTGATTTTACTCAGACAAGTGTTACATTATAATCTCTTTTCTTGGGCAAATTTTTGTGAATTCTAAAGTTCATATTATCTTGTTTTCATATTCTGTTAGTTTTCTTTGTAATGATCATTAATTCTTTCCACATCTTTCTCACAACTGCTCAGTGTAATTTGCCATAAAGCAAAAGGTCTTATTTTTACTTTTTTTTTGAGAGAGGCTTTGCTTCTGGAAGTCTGCTTTGCACTTCAGTGTGTTTTAGTGGCTCTCTGGGCTGCTCCTCACTGTCATCCTGGGACTCCCCTACACCATCCTCCAGGGCATTCATTCCCTTTGCCTCCTATTCTGTGTGGAGATGTGGTAGGCAGTTAGACAAGCAGAAGCAGAGCAAGGATGAGGGCCAGGTTCAGGTCACCAGGTGGAAAGCCCCAGGCGCCTAGCAAAGAACAATGGTAGGGTGGGACCTCTCCCCCAGATTGATCTTTCCTCCCCTAGCATATCGCTGGTCTAGCACTTTGGATGCCTTGATCTTTCCTCCCTAGAGATAACATGTAGGTCTCAGTTGTGTTTCAGCTCCAGGCCCAGAAAAGCAGCAAAACCAGACAAATGACATGAAGATTGACCTCAGGACAGCTGCATTGAATAATGACCCCCTGTCCTGGTGTTGATCAATCAATCTGTGGAGACCTAGACCCTGAAAGCACACCTGGAAAGCTGCTGAATATTCTGTTGAGATCTTCCCTCCCCCTCCCACCTCCCCTAAAATCTCTATTCTTAGAACCCTTAGGACCAAGGACCCAGGGAGCACTCATCTGCTCTTTCCTTCTCTTTCCCCCCTGTCCTTCCCCTTCCCCCTCCCCCTTCCCTGAGACACATTACATTACCTTCCTCACTCTCAACCTCTGCATTGTTTAAGTCTGATTGTGTACACTAATCTAGGGTAAAAATGACTACTCTCAGAATTTTGAAAGCATTGGTCTATTGCCTGCTTCTCAATGTGGGTGTTGAAAACTGATGTCATTTTCATTTTTACTCTTTTTAATGTAATATATGTTGTTCTATGCCAGAAAATTTTGAGAATGTCTCTATATCCTTGGTGTTGTGAAATTATTTCTTTTCCTTCCTTCCTTCCTTCCTTCCTTCCTTCCTTCCCCTCTCTCTCCCCCCCACCCCCTTTCTCTCTCTTCCTCTTTTTCATTTATCATGCTTGGCTTTGGTGGGCAATATTAATCCATTGATATCACAGCTTTCAGGTTCATAAAATGTTTTGCATTATTATTTCTTGATAATGTCTCTGTTTCTGTTTTGTAGGTGTCCTTTTAATTGGACACTGTGATGGCCATGGGGTACTTGGATTAACATTGTTTCTGGGTGTGTCTGGATAAGATTAGCATCTGAATTGGTGAATTTAGTAAACTGTTCTCCCCAATGTGGGGGTATCATCCAGTCTGTTGAAGTCCTGAATAGAACAAAACAATGCAGGAAGGAAGGATTTGCCCTCCCCCCTCCCCCTCTGTTTCTTTTTTTTAAAAATTTTATTTTAACCAAGAAGTTTATTTAAACAAGACACTTGACTTGAAGGGAAAACTATCTAGGATTAATTTTTCTTTAGAGCAATTTATCCCTACTTAAAGACAATTGCCCTATATGTAACAGCTACATACAAAAAAAGTTATAAAATTATCCTTGGTTTTACAATGATAAATGAAAAACATTAAAATTCTCCAATCAAACAAGGTATGCAAGAATTTTTATGTTGTTCTTTTTTTGTTAAACAGTGAGAGCAAAATAACTTGGTATATAAAGATAAGAGCTGAATGAGCATGCCACTAATGGAGAAAGGGGGTGTTGTCACAGAATCAATATTTTTTCCCATCCATCTCCATTTGATGTCCATCAAAACATACCATTGGCCATTTAGTTAAAAAAATGCAAATGCTTGTGCACATACATCAGTTACTTTAGGTGTAATAAAGGAATGGGGAAGGGGGAAATGAAAGAATAGAGAACACTAAACTGTTGCAGTCAGATGTGTTGAAACCGAATTGCAGTTTTCTAACTGAGAATGTCTTCTTGGTCTGGAGGCTGTGCTGGAGTAAAGTGGCAGGTTCCCTTTTTAGTAGAAACCACCTGTCTGCTGCTGGAACACATCAATGTTATCTTCCTCCTCCATTTCCAACTGTGCAGGTGTGTCTGCTTCATTGATTAGCTGCCGGTCAAATCAGAATCTGATCTGCCTCATTGACAAACCCTGTCGTTCACAATAGGCTTCAATTAGTTTACGAAGTGGTGTGTGCCTCTTAATCTTAAACTGCACCACAGAACCATCCTGCCCCGCCACCTTCAAATTAATCTGATCATTGCTCTCAGCCTTGACCCCTTCCTTGGGTTTTTCCTTGGCCATGGAGAGCGCCAGAGTCTCCTCAGCTGCCACTTCACAGAAGGGGTACCAGGTCCGCACCAAAGGGGCACACAAGCAGCACCAGGAGCGGCAGAAGGAGGCGGCGGTGGAGCCACCCACCTCTTTATGCCTCACTGATTGAGCCAAGACATCCCTTCTCATCTTTCCCTGCCCTCAGATTGGAATTTACATCATTGGTTTCCCTGCTTATCAGGCCTTCAGACTCAACTAGAATTACACCACCAATTTACAGACAGCAGACGGTGAGATTCTTAGCCTCCACAATCATGTGAGTCAATTCCTCCTAATGAATCAGTCTCACATATATAATATTGGTTCTGCTTCTCTGGAGGACCCTGGCACTGAACCTTTTAGATTCTCCTAAGATTTTCTTGCATTTTCTCTTCTACCCCATCTCTTCATCTCTTTGTTCTACTTTCTGGGAGTTGCACTCATCACATTTCTTAGCTACATATTATTAGAGTTCATAAAAATGTGTGGTTCTCCTCCTTGCTAAACATGTGAAATGATTACAATGCCTTGTGCCTTTGTACTCCAGAGGAGCCATATGATTTGCTTTAGCCAATGAGATATGGAGATATTGAGGTAGGAATTCCTGCTATGTGATTTCCCACATTCTCTTTCCCTGTAGTGGTGAACTCCAGAGCCTCATTAAAATAGGTGTTTCACAAGTTTAGAGCAGCCTAGCACGTCACCTCGCCTCCTACAGGGGAGAGCTGCGTCACCTCGCCTCCTACAGGGGAGAGCTGCGCTGGAGTCACCAGAACCAACAAAAGACTTTGTAAGTAAACCTTCACTCTGTTAAAACCTGAGTTTGCCTCTGTTGTCACCATGGCAAATTTTACGTATCCTAAATGATTCAGTCTTCTAGAGGCTTCCTTGTGATTTCCTTGTTCTCTTTTTGTAGCATCTCCTTCTTGTTTCATGGACATAATGATCTTTCTTAGCCTCAAAGTGATAACAATGTCATGACTGCTTCCATTGCTTCTGTATAAAGTGAATTATTTTTGCTTCCCTAGTTTGCATGTGTTGATGTCTGGCTTTCCTCAAGGCCCGGATTGTTGGCTTTCATCCCTCTGGAAAGAGGCACCAGAAGTGGAAGCCCCATGTGCATGCCATGGCTTGTTGGTTGTTGGGCTTCACTGTAGCATAGTCAGAGGAAAGACTGCTTTTTCCTAGCAGAACCCCAAATCTCATAACTGTAGGTGTGGGGCCATTCAGCTTCTCCAGAGAAGTGCTCACCTGCCACCACTTTCTGTTTGAAAGTGTTGAGGGAGCCAAGTAGAGATAGTTAAGAAAGAGACGCTCTCACCTATTATACCTTAATTCCTCTATTTGTTGATCCACAAGTATTCTGTGTTCTTCTACTGTTCCTGAGTCTAGCATCTCCCTGGTTCAATTTCTCCAGACATAAGCTATCAATCTTCAGACTGTGTGGGGTTTGGGCAGAAATGTGTTTGGGGCAGTGGTAAGGGCCTAGTGGTCTGTTTCTTGGATAGAATTGCAGCTGATTTTCTTGTTTCCAGCTCCCAAATTATCCCCTGCCTTCTACAGTCCTGACACCTGAGGGACTTCTGAGACTGTGAAGTCTGGGAGCAGCTCTGCTTTCCGGTTGTTGTCTCTTCTCTATGCCTTAAGTTCAAACTTCTCTGGTTTTCTATCCTTACCTTTCTTCTGCCTGCATTGCGTCTTCTAAAAATGGGTTGAAGCCTCTCATCTGCTTATGTTTTCCTTTCCATTTTCTATTCATTGCAGATTTATACTTGATTCCTCTATTGACAATTTAGGGGAGATTTAATTTTGAGCAGAGATAAAGAGATATGCCATCTGCCTGGTTCATCTAGGATTATCTCAATAGGAACTCTTATTGTGTATTAAGGTGGTCAGCATTCAGACACTTATTTATTTTACAAAATGCAATGAGTGTCTTTATATCCTATCATATGCCACATCCTATAGGAGATGTAGTGGAGAATAAGAAATCATTATTTAAGCAATGGATAGAAAAAAAGATTCTCAAAAAGGGTCTGAGAAAGAGTGGTCAGGAAGGAAAGAGGAAAATCAAGAGTATTTTGTTATGGAAGTCAAGAATAATTTAAGGAGAATGGTCAGTAGTGTCCACTGCTAAATAGATGCAGACCAATTTAAGAGTGACCAGAACAAGACTGAGGGTATTTAGGAATTATAACTGACAAGAATTAGAAACTGGCTGAATATGCAGGGTGAGGAAAAATTTCCTAAATCTCTGGCTTGCGTGCCCAGATTAATGGTGGTTCTATTTCCTGAGATGAAAATCCCAGGGAAATGGTCAGCTTTGGCAGGCAAAGTTTTGGAGAAATTTAGGTACCTCTCAAATATCCAAGAAGAAACACTCTTCATGAAATTTTGTATGTGGTTCTCAGGCATAAAAGAGGGATCTGGGTTACTTGAGGTCAGGAAAGATAAGGATTGAGAAGATAGGGGTTTCTTACAATGAAGAGGGCATCAGTTAACTTGTAAAACAGTTGCTTGGTGTAAGGGAGAAGCCAGATTGCAGTGACTCTGGGAGAAAACTAGAGGGGGGTGAAGTAGTGTCAGCCAGTGTGTGGGTCTATCACCAACTGTGTGGAACTTTGTGCCCAAACTCAGTTCATTAGTCTTATCCATTCCCCACTCTACTCCCTTCCCCCACTTGGCTCCTTTAAACTTATCCATAAATTTATGGTGTCATCTCCGTATGCATATAAATTCTGGCAGTTCCTTTATACTTACCCAGCGAGTCCCTAAGGCTAAATCAATACAATCTCAGTCTTTATTTTGTTTTTTGCAACCAAGCTGTTAATTAATTTAATGAAATATGCACCCTCTGTGGTTTGTTTTCAATCAAACTTCATAATCACCAGCCCTATTTCAGCCTGGAAATCTTAAATAACTCTTTACCGTCTCATAATTTCTCAGAATCATTTCAAATTTCCAAAATCCTCATTGAAACTTAATCCTAACACTTTGCTGCCACAGGACAATTCCAAGCCCAATGAGCAGGAGGTCCTTCACTTCACCTGTCAAAATATACTCCTCAAACTAACTATCCTTTCCTTCTTCTTGTCAGGGATGCTTTGGTTTATTTATCACCATTTTCCACCATAGAGGTGGCCACAGGCAATCTATAAAATATTCTTATATGCATGCCCTAGCAGACATAGCTCCTCTTTTTTAAAAATCCTCCTCTCAAGCCTAGACTCATCTTTTAAAAATGGAAATGAACTATATCACTGCCTAGCTTAACATGCTTCAAAGATTCTCATTACCTTCAAACTGAAACCCAACTTATTTAGCATCTGTAAAGGGCTTTGTATGAAGGCATGGAATTGTGAGCAAATATGATTCTTTGGGAGAACTGAAATACTTTGAGATAGATAACACATGGATTGGGATGGGACTGAAGAAGTAGGCAAGGGGCAGATAATGAAGGACCTTGTACCACAAGCCTGGAGGTAATACCCAGAGGAATGGGAGAGAATGAGACCACAAGCTGATACGTCAAGGTGTAAAGACTGGCGTCTCCTGCAACCAGATAGGGGCTAAGCAGAAAAGACAATTTAATATTTTCCATGATGCAGTGCCTTTAAGATGACCTTCTGGTGTTAAAATGAGTTCCTTCTTTTTCACTAAAACTTGGGAGAATGTGGCCATTGCTAACCTAGCCTTGGTGGTGGTGGTAGTGTGCTTATGGTAGGGAAATGGTCAGCTCCAGGCATCAGGTTTTATTCTCAATTGGCATGTTTATTTTTCTTCCTAAGGAAGTTCCTGGTCAGGTCTGCCATGCTTGCCTACACCTCCCTGATCTTACATATAACCAATTGTGCAACCTTAAATGTTAGTCAGCCTTACAAAACAGCAATGAGAAAGTACAATGTCAAGTCATTATTAATACACTAGGGGCCCGGTGCACAAAAATTTGTGCACTGGGGAGGGGGTTCCCTCAGCCCAGCTTGCCCCCTATCATACTGGAAAAGCCCTAGGGGATGTCCTACTACCTGCTCCCTGCTCCC